TGATGCTGTATGTGGGGAAGGGGTCAGAGAGGGACAATGGTGGTCCCCTGTGCTGCTTCCCTCCACTGGGGCCTGCGAGGTCTGTCTCAGTCTCACTACTTGCTCCTTCATCGGTTTACGGTTTATCTGCGCGCGAATGAGTGACCCCGTTCAGCCCTCAGTGGGTCCTCCCGCTTCTCCACACCTGGGATCCACCCACTGCCTGTGCGCCCAGGTCGGTCCGGTGGATCTTTCCTGCCTGATCCCGCTCTGCTGCTGGCTCTGCCCCTCTTACCGGTTTGGCTGAATGGTTTCTTTTTGTCAGACTTCCGTATAGTTCAATTTTCTGTGGTTTGGCTGCGTTTTTGTTGCTAAAACTTTGTTGTTTTTAAAGTTGGTTGTGAGAGAAGGCAGAGTGTTTCCACCTATGCCTCCATCTTGGTGGAAGTCCCATTAACCCTCTTAAAACCCTAATTTTAAAAAAAATTCTAAATTTACTGATTTGAGGGAAAGATTTGTTGTTCCACTGATTTATGCATTCATTGGTTGAGTCTAGTATGTGCCCTGACCAGGGCTTGAACCCACAACCTTGGTGTATCGGGATGATGCTCTATCTAACCAACTGAACTATCCAGCCAAGGCTTAAAACTAGTGTACTTTACACTCATCAGATGGACAAAATTTAAATGTGGAACAAAACCAGGTGTTGGTGAGGATGTGGGCAACCAGGCTCTCATATGCCCTGCCAGCGAGGGTGTAGACTGACAGAACTGGTTTGAAGAACAGTCTGGCAACAGGCGGCAAAGCCGGGCAACTGTCTGTGGCAGCCCCGGTGGTCAAAGGTAGGTGAACCCAAACCCACAACTCAGTAATTTCTCTCCTAAGCATGTGAGCTGAAAAGAGTCCATGTATGTGCACAAGGAAGTATGTAAAGAATGTTCCAGAACACGATTTGTAGTGCAAAACAATGGGAGCTCCCTGCACGTCCATCAACAGGAAACTGAATAAAGGTTGGGAAAGTCTAACTGTTTCTTCCCTCCGAGAAACAATGGAGGGAAGCCATTTAAGTCAACAGATTTATGTCAGAGCGCGGAGAGACATGAGTTGCAGGAGCGTACAGATAGGACGATACATTTATGTCAGGCTTAAAAACACGAAATGGTACTACGTAGCACTTAGAGATAAAAACTCATGTAGTGAAAATAAAAGAAAGGCATGAAAATAAAACCGTATTCAGAACGGTGGTACTAGGGCAGGGAGGGAATGGGGGAAGGAATGTAGGGCTGGCACTGTACTGAGAATAGTTGTTAAACTGGGCAGTGGCGTTACGCAATTCATTACTCTTTTTACATGTCCAAGTTATTTCATAATTTATTTTTTAAATGGCTCTGGCTGGTGTGGCTCAGTGTGGATTGAGCGTGGTCCCACAAAGCAAAAGGTCACAGTTTCAATTCCTGGTTCGGACACATGCCTGGGTTGTGGGCCAGGTTCCCAGTTTGGGGTGTACAAGAGGCAACCGATCTGTTTCTCTCCCTTCCTTCCCCTGCCTCAAAAAAGAAATAAATAAAATCTTTAAAAAAAAAACAAAAACGAAAACAATTTCTCTTTCGTCAAACGAGTGTTCCCCGCCCGGCCCCACCTAGGCTGGTGCGGCTCGGTGTCCTCGGGGCCAGGTCCCCAGCTGGGGCACGTGTGAGGGGCGACGGATTGGTGTTTTTATGTCTCACGTCGAAGTTTTTCTCCCTCTCTCCTTTCTCTCACCTCTCTCGAAAAATATAGAAATAAAATCTAAAAAAACTAAAGAAGCGTTTTCCCCTCCTACTAAAAAAGAAGGCCTCCACACTGGTGCCCTTGGAAGACTTGGCTTCCGCAGGCAGCCGCCTGCTGTGGGGTCATTCCTCAGCCTTTACAGAAGTGTCAGGCTCGTGGTTCACTTGTTGTAGGTAGGGTGTTTTCTTCATGAAAACAAGTTTTAATTTTAGTGCCTAATCCATCCATCTTTTATAATTCAAGCATCCTCTACTACCCCTCTAAAAACACTCCCCCTATACCACGTCCCCCAACGCCGCTGCCAATTCCTCTGTTCTCCCTCAGCCGCGTGGGGAAGAGCTGTTCATTCTCGAGTCTGCACTGTCCTTCTGCAACCTCAAACTTGCTCCTGGGCCCACCTTTAAACCTACTGTCGCCGCGTTGCCGGGTGAGCTCTGCGTTGCCCACCAAGTGGGCATCTCTACCTTGGCAGCAGGCAGCAGAACAGACTGTTCCTCCTTCTCGAGACCTTGACTCTTCACGCATGTCCCGTTTTCCTCCCACCTCGCGCTGTGGCGTCATTCCTGTATCCTCTGCTGGCTCCATCCTGGGGCCTCTTTCTTTCTCCCTCTCCATCTCCTTTTAGGTGATTTCTGCCCGTTCTGTAACTAAATGTATCGGCAGGCTCCCAGATGTACATTTCCAGCCCTGACCACAATATCCAGTTGCCTGTTGGACGCATCCACGTGGATGCCCAGTAGGTGGGAGGGACATATGACTTACTATCCAAACACTTCTAAAAGCAGAAACGACTGCAATTAATTACACCGGGACAGACATAACTTGAACTGCCCCTCGCAGCCTGGGACACGTGTATGCTCACCCTATGTCAGTGTGACATCTACAGTGGGAATCTCCAGCCAGTCCTAAAATCTGTCTCTCACTGATCTCAGCAAAAGACATTTATCAAGGCAAAACTCCAGGAACTTGAATGATGAACCCCACCACCCCTGAGCCTTTCATTTCCCTCATCTCCCATACGACCTGTCCACAGTTGCTACAATACTTACCTGCAAAATGATTCCGGGTTCTGACCACTTCCTCCACAGCCAGCACCCTGGGCCAAGCCACCTACGTGTCTTGCCTGCTGACCAGCCTCCCCACTCCCGCATTTGTCCCGCTGTGATCTGTTTTCACAGAGCAGCCCAGGGACCCTTCTAGAGCTTAAATCAGACTGTGGCACCCATCATTTAGAAGCCTCCCACGGGAGGCTTCTACTGTGCATGAATTATTGCCATCCATGGTAACACAGGCGAACTTCACAAAGTGAGGTTGAACAAAACCTTCAACGTGAGGTTGAACAAAAGAAGCAAGGCACAAGAGCAAGATCCTGTATCTCTTGTGTATCTCGGGCTATATGATTCCTTTAAACCAAGTTCAAAATGAGGAAAAACAGAAGTCAGCAGACTTCTGTTTGTTATTAGAAGTCAGCAGAGTGAGTACTGGTTCCTGATCTGGCTGCTGGTTGCAATAGGGGTATTTTGTTCATGAAAAATTAATTGGCCCTGACCGCTGTGGCTTGGCCGAGCATTGTCCCGCAAAGCAAAAGGTCGCAGGTTCGATTCCCAATCAGGGCATGTGCCTGGGCTGTGGGCCATGTCCCCAGTGGGGGCGTGTACGAGAGGCATCTGATCAATGTTTGCCTCTCCCATGGATGTTTCTCTCCCCCTCTTTCTCCCTTCCTTCCCCTCTAAAAATAAAAAAAGAAAATCTTTTTAAAGAGAAAAAAGAAAAAAAATTATTAAGCTTATGTTCAGCATGACTTGTGTACTTTACGTACTATATTTCGAACCAAAATGTTTTCCTTTTTAAAAAAAGATTTTGTTTATTTACTTTCAGAGAGATGGGAAAGGAGGGAGAAAGAGAGAGAGAAACATGAGGTGCAAAGGAAACAGTGATCAGTTGCCTCCTTCATGCCCCCAACTAGGGACCTGGCCTACAACCCAGGCATGTGCCCTGACTGGGAATTGAACCGGCATCCCCTCGGTTCACAGGCCAGAGCTCAATCCACTGAGCCATACCAGCCAGGGCCCAAAATGATTTCTTGCTTATTGTCTAGACTTAGGCTAGACAGTAAGACTAGACTTAGGCTTCAGGAGTGGGGATCTCGTCTGCTTGCCCACTGCTCCATCCCCAGAGCAGGGTGCACTGCTGGGCACACAGGAGATGCTTGAGTAAGGACGCAATGAAAGCAGCCAGACCAGCTTCAGGGAGAACCTAGGAGGCAATGGCAGTGACCCTCAGAGAGAGGACTAGATCGAAACCCTGACTGGAGCCAGAATGAAGAGGAAGAGGAAGCTAAGACTTCAGAGGTAAAGTCAAGGTGGTGAGCTTACTAATTTAATTTTCCAATTACTCCTTATTTCTCCTAAGATTAAAACCAGTCTTTCTGGTCCCTACTTCCTCTCTGACCCCTTCCCACTCCTTCTCCCTCGGTCCCTCCTCTCCAGCCCCTCCATCTCCTGCTCCACCTCACAGACTCGGCACCTGTAGTCCTCTGCCCCCACATTCCTCCCAGGTTGCCGCGGTGCCCCCTCACCTCCTTCGGGTCTCACCTCCCTGCTTTTGCTCTCGGAGCTCCAGTCACCCCTGACAGTCAGGGTGTCTCACGTGTTTATTTATTACCTAGCTCCCCACACTGCTAGTTTTCAAGAAGCAGGATTCCATCCCTTGATTTTAGTCACAGCACTTCAGGCTGCAGGTGGCTGCACTCACCGACTAGGGCCCACCCACGTGGACACCCATGCTGCCCCAGCCCAGCCAAGTTGCCCCCGACCACTCCCTCCAAAGCCTGTGGCGCTGACAGCCTCCAGCTGGAGCCAGACCCCCGGCTGGCGGGCGCCAGCTCCTGGCAGAGGGGCCAGCGTGTAATTAGAAACTCTTCAAGCTCCCTAATTGCCAGTTCTTCTCCCAAAACGGGATGCCGGTACTATTCTGAGCAGCCCTTGTTGCCGGCTCCCTGAGGCCTGTAGAGAGGAGCAGGCTGGGAGCAGAGCCAGGCTGGGTGGAGGTGGCCCTGGGGAGGCCTGGAGAGGTCGGAGGGGACTGCGTGGCGGAGAAGCGCTGGCGAGTGGCCAGAGACCAAACGTGGCGCAGCCAGGGCTGCTGTTCCTCAGGGTCCAGCCAGATCCTCGATCCAGTCTGTGCCGTGGCCTCCTCTCCACCTTCCTCCAGCCCCTGCTCCCACCCATGCCCAGAACAGTGACATCAAAGGGCCCATTCATTCTTTATTCAGGTAGCATACAAATCACTACAAAAACTTTACAAAAGAGCCTTAAGGAGCTAATGCCACCACCGCCCTCAGCCCCTGAGACCCCAAGCAGAGGAGGAAGAGGAGAGAGGAAGGAAAGGGAGTCCTGGCAGTGTCGGCGTCTCTAAGCAAGGAGACCGAGGTGACAGGGCATGGGACCTGGGGCCTTGCGGGGGCTAGTGGGCCTTGTGCAGGTGATGACAGAGGCCCTCGTGGGGTGCTCCGCCTCCACCCACAGAGCAAGACAGGGCTGATCCAGGCGTCTAACCCCAGGACAGGGCTCTTCCCCCGAGGCACCCCCAGGGCCTGCCTTTTCTCTCCCCAGCCAGGGCATCCAGTCCCTCCGATCCACCCCCTCTGGTAAATGAACAGGGAAGTACCCCAGCCAACTTAAGACTTAAGGAATAACCCACCTACCTTCCAGACAGAAGTGGGTCCACAGCTGCCCCTCCTCCCTACCCCAGCCCGCCCCAAACTCCCCAGAGGAGACAGAGAGATTGATTGGCCCCTCTCCTCCTCAGGCTGCCTGCCCAGCCCCCGCCCCTAACCCCATGAAGCTGTTGGGAAAGAGTCACATGAACTGAGGCTGGTCCAGGCAGGGACTTGGGATGCTGCAGCCCACAGCCCCTCACTTGGGGCTGCTAGGCTGGGGGTACTCCTCCTCCAAGGGGGGCACCAGTTTCAAGTCAGGGCCGAAGGGCTTGTCTCCACGGGGGAAGGCTTTCTGCTTCTGGAAGGGGTCCCTGTTGTCAGGGGAATCCTGCTGCTCCTTGTGCTCTGGCTGTGCACCAGGGCTGGGGTTCCTCACGCTGCCCACAAAGAGGGGCAGGCTCGTGGTGTCCTCGAGGATGAAGAAGAGGAAGGGGCGGTTCACGCTGAAGGAGGAGAGGGACATGCGGGACATGGCAGAGCTGGTCGCCGCAGCCGCCTCCACACCCGCCTCGCTGAGCTCCAGCGTGGATTGATGCTGCACACTGGACACCACCAGTCTCTGCTCCGAGATTCCGCTCAGGTCTGGGGCCAGAAACAGCTCCTGCAGGCCTGCCCGGGGCGACAGATGGCTGGTCAGAGCTGCCTGCTGCCCCACAGGCTGCCCAGCCCTGCCCAGGAGGGTGTCGGGCATCCTGACCAGGGAACCTACCAGTTCCCTGACCAGTTCCTGATCTGGAACTCACAGATCCCTGGCTAACTCCTGCTTAACCTTCAAGTATCAACTTAAAGGTTACTTCCTCCAGGAAGCCTTCCTTGATTCCCTGCTCCAAAGTCCTGACAGGTACCTTTTCAATGTTCTTCTGGGTGAAATGGAGAGAAGCCCTATGTCTTATCACTTATGCTGAATCATAAATACTTACTCCTCACCTGCCCACTCCATTAAACTGAGCCCTTTGTACACAGAGGGCTACCTAGCACAATGCCACTTGCATGCTTTCAGGAGAGCCAGCGAGGCTCACACTCCACCCCTGGCTGATTCTCTGCAGCGCTGTCTCAGGCAGAGCAGGTCCCCATTCCCTAGGCCACCCAGCACACCCCAAGACAGAGGCCTAGGGCCTCCCATCAAACCCTCTCACCTTCTTAAACCTCAGAAAAGGCAAGGACACAGGCTTAGCTTTGTCCCTGACCCCCTGACAGCTGGGGGCTTCCTCCTCACCCAGCCTGACCTAGGTGGTGGCCCCACGCCCAGCCTCCTTACCCAGCTGGCTGAGGGTGGCCACCAGGTCCAGCTGATATTTCAGGCGCAGCTTAGGCAGCTGGACCTTGGTGGGCCTTTCCCGCTGCAAGGGCTGATGCAAGATGTCCCAGCTCAGGTTGGCCAGCACCTGGGACACGTTCCACTCAAAGTAGGTGGGCACGATGACCACAAAGCTCATGTTGTTCTTAAAGGGGAAATGAGCCATCTACAGACAAAGGAGGGAGGCAACATGAGGACCAGGCCGCTCCCAGACCAGGGTGGTCTGGGCCAGCATGAGCTTCTGAGACCAATGGGCCGGGCGCCAGTGCATCCTTCTCGGGTATGATCGCACCTCCCAGAGCCACCAGTTCCTCACCTGTAACGTGGAGTGACACTACTTGCCCACCTTGCAGGTTGACATGTGACCAAAAGAGACAGCACCTCTAAAGCTTCTAGCAGAATGTCTGCGCTTAGGCTCCGTCAATAAATGGCGTTTCTCTATCTCTTCATCTGCTACTACCTGCTAGTCCTGTGGCTGGGGGTGAAAAATCGGCTGTGGTCCCCTTTCCATGTATTCAATGGACTTGGGTTGTTAGTTTTCAACTGCGCCCTAGGTTCTACAGAGCAGCTGCTGCCACGGTGGTCCTCTCTCTACCCCTCTCACCTTCAGCACTGACTTTGCCCAGCCCTGTATATTTGCCGTGACTTGGGCTAAGATTTCATATGAACAGGGTTTCTGCAGCTCTGGAAGTAGGAAAGCCACCAGGCTTCATGGTCTCTTGCAGCTTTGACGCCTGCAGTTCTCAGCAGGCCCCGCCGGCAGAACCCCTACGAGTGGGAGGAACACCAGCATCAGGCCCCCGGGCTGTCTGCACAGTGCCTGAGAGCAGGGAGGACGGGGAATGGAGACAGACAGAGGGCAAAGGAAGAGTGGGCAGGATGTAACCTGGAGGGAAGGAGCTACAGTAGGAAAACTGGTGGGGTGGTAAAGCAGACGTCCGCCTTTCGGGGTGTACTGGAGAGAAGCCGGGGACGCTGTTGCCCGGTTCGGCCTCGCCGACTACTGCCCTCAGGTGGGCTGCAGAAGCAGATGCGGCCTTGCTAAAGCTAGACGACACTGCCATCTCAGCCACAGGCACCAGTTCTTCCAACCCAGCCATCAGTGACCAAGCCGAAGGGACCACATTTAGGCCGGAAGCAAGGGAGTCCACACCTGAGGTGGCTCGGAATAGCACTCTGTCCAACCAGAATGTTCCATCAGGATGCCGACAAATCCATCCCAGTCAGACCCTCGCTTCTAAGGAGTACTGCGGGGGACTCTAGGTGTGGGGGTGCTGAGGCCCCAAGGGGCTGCATGGCTGCTGAGGTGCCTGCCCCACAACCCATGGGTCTTTGTAATATAACCCCCACAACCAGGGATCACCTGGGGCTCCACTCAGTGCCCCTCCTCAAAAAACGGCCACTCGATCTACAATAACTGCCCCAGTCACTAATAGATCGCCTTTCGAAAATTTTTTCTGGGCAGGGTCTGGGGAAGGGGCAGCAGGCACCATGTGCAGCCGCGAAGGTGGGAAGAAGAAGCCCCTGAAACGGCCCGAGAAGCAGTCGGAGAGGACGGACGAGGAAGGTGGGGCATTCAAGCAGAAGCGAAAAGAGGAGCAGAAGAAACTTGAGGAGCTAAAATGAAGGCTGCGGGGAAGGGCCCCCTGGCCACAGGTGGAATTAAGAAATCTGGCAAAAAGTGAGCTGCTCTCGTGACGGGGGCACTGGTGATCCTTCATCCCCCTCCTGTGTTAACACCTGGATTCCCTGTCATAACATTTCTTGCCACCTACAGCTAGGATGAAGTGTTGTCTGGGAGCCTGTTGTACATTTAAGAATAAACTTTTGTAAAAAATAAATAAATATTTTTTCCCTTCGTAATACTTAGCACTGAAATCATCCTGCCGATTTTTGTGTGCTCGTGTACCGTGCGCCTTCCCACTAGAGAGCAGGGAGCAGGGCTCCCCTCGTGGGCCACTGAATGCCCCACGCCTAGAAGAGAATCTGGCCCACAGCAAGTGCCCGATATCACCTTGTTGAATAAATGAACCTTGAAGAGCCTGGAGCCTCAGTGCCCCTGGGAGGGGGCACAGTGAGACCTTTCACGGCCACATGTCCCCAGGACATGTGGACAAGGACATACGGGGAAGGTGGAGACACCCCTCCCCACCCCTGTGCCTACTCCCTTCCCCACCTCCCGGCCTGGGCCATCAGGGGTGACCTGTATCTCAGGCTGCTCCAGCGAGACCCAGTGCAGAGGGTATGTGAGGGCCTGCATCATGTCCACTGGCACCGCGAACTGCTCGTCCAGGTGGAAGGTTTCTCTCCGGGTGAGGCTCGGGTCAAACTTGCTCTTCCAGAAACCTGCGTCCAGCAGAGGGCAGGGGCCACGTAGACTGGGACCAGGGTGGGTCCTGTACCACCAGCTTCTTCCCCATCCCACCCAGAACCCATTCCAAGGACAAAAGGTGAGGGCTGAGACCCCAGAGGGTGCTGTGCCAGTTGAAACACAGTTGATCTGAGGTCTCTTTTCTGTTGCACTTTTAAAACCTGGGCCTGCATTTTGCCCATGCCCTGCCGCGCTCCCAGGAACTTCCCCTCGGGCCTTCCCAGACTCGGTTTCCTTCTAGGGTGCTCCCTCCACAACAGCCCCAGCCGGTTCCTGGGCTGCCTCCCTACCACACCGTTGCCTGCCTCCCACCCTCCCCCAAGCAACAACCCAGAGAGGTCCTTGCCTCCTTGTTCAGCCCTGAGTAGGAAGAGGGACCCTCAGAAAAAAGGCCACACAGCCAGCTCAGCCTACAAGGTGGGGGTCGGAGCTGCCAGCGCGGGGGGCCAGAGAAGAGGGGGAGCGCACCCTGGAAATGGATGGCATTGAGGAGGAGAAGCACTGTGTCGTCGGACAGCTCCGAGAGGAAATCCTCGATCTTCCCCTCCGTGGTCTCCTTCACCCATTTGTTGATGTTCGCCAAGTCATCCCCCTTCCTGCCCATCAGGTTTATGGGCTTTGCGCCAAAGAGACGTTCTGATTGTTTCAGGAAGTCCTCTTTGATGGGAAATCCTACACAGAAGGGGCCACAAGCTGCTCCCTGGGCTCAGGTACCACAGTGGTCCAGCTGGCAACCTGAGGCCAATCCCATCTCCCCTACCCTGTCCACCCCAGGGCACTACCTAGGGACTCCCCTACCACCAGCACCTACCTTTCCGCAGGTACATCCTGGCAGCCATTCGGAATGCCCCAGGGCCCAGGTCCTGGCAGAGACGGCTCAGCAGGTTGGGGAGGCAAGGCCCTGAGTCTGCATGCAGCACCTGCTGCAACCGCTGCAGCGTCTGGTTCTGCGCACCTGAGGGGACCCCACTGGCTATGGCCCAGGCCAGTTTCTCTCCCACCACCACTGTCCACCCAGTCCCTCCTGAGTGCCCACGGTGAGCACGGCCCTGGGACCACACACCCTCCTCATACCCACTGAGCTGGTCTGCGTGCCAAGCCCCCCAGGTTCTACTTCTACCTCTGCTGCTGCTGACAGTCTGGGGGACCACACCTGGCGGAAACTGTCATCTCTCTCTGGACCTCGGTTTCTCACAGTGAGACCCTCTATGTCTCTGATGGAGACAGTGTAGCTACCAAACTCTTGCATGAAAGTCACCAGAAGCAGATCCCTGGGTCCAGCCCCTGGGAATCTGATTCACAGAAACTTGAGGTGGGCCCAGGAATCTGCATGTCCACCAAATGTCCAAGTGACCCCAACAGAGGAGTGACTCTGATGTAGTGAGTCCCTGCTGGCCTCCCAGCTCTGCTGGTCTGCACAGGCGCTGCCACAGTACCTAGTGCCAGGTGAGACAGTGCCAGGGCCACACTCAGGGGTGACAGGATGAGGTTGGGGCTGGTGGACCTCTGGGCCACCATGGAGAAAAGGTCTGTGGTGAAGGCCATCATGGCCTTGGCCAGCCTGTGGGTCTGCTCCGGGGTTGGGGCCGCCTTGCAGTCACCCAGGGCCTTCTTCAGGGCAGGCTGGCCCCGAAGCTCCTGCAGGGATATATCAGGGGCCAGTGGGGGCCAGGGGTCAACTCCGGGTTCTGTGTCAGAGATCTCCTTTATAGCTCCTGCACTTGGGGACAGCAGGGCCTTGTCCCAGTCCTGATACATTCTGGGGAATGGATCCCTTCCTCTTGTCCCTCTCACCCTCACCCTTCAGTTCTCAGGCCCCAGGTCATGCCCCCCAGTTCCCTCACCCCTGCAGATGGGTCCCCTCCCCTCGGGTCCCACCCACTCTTTCCCAGCCCCACCTGGTTGTACCTGGTTGCCCAATTTGAGGAAGCTAAGTGGGGACAGCTTCTCCTGATTTGGCCCAATCACTATCTGAAGAAAAGAGGAAGCAGATGGAGAGGGACCCTTCCCCCAGGTCCCCCACCCTGTACAAGCCACCGGCAACACCCCTCAGGGCCTTCCTTCCTGTCAAGCCTCCTCGCTTCCCAGTACCTGCTGGTCTAAGGGCTCCATGGCGCTCGCTGGAGAGAACTGTTGAAAAAGGATGAGGAGAGGAGGGAGAACCCCCTTAGAGCCAGACCCTGGCACCACCCACCCCTTCTCTTCTTCCCTCTCAGATCTCTCCCCTGCCCTCCCCACCAGACCCGGACCACCACGCAGGCTCACCACCGAGCAGGGGCCTTGCAGGCAGGACAAGACGAGCACCAGGAGCCCCCGCAGCAGCGCCATGTTCCTGTCCGGGACAGGAGGCCTCGGTTCCAAACTCGCCCCCCCTCCCCTCACACTGTCACCAGTGATCTGACTGGCTACCTGAGGCCAAGCCCCCACACCCACCGTGGATCCGCCCATGTGACCACCAGCTGGCAAAGCCCGGAGGGGACATCAGCTACCACCCGCCCCAGAACACACTGGCAGTGGCTCTCAGCTGTGAGGGGTGGAATCCCCGCCCCTGCCCTGAATTGTGTCCTCGCTCACGTTTGCTGGTTTTTCACATTTCATGCACTGAGAATGTTTCGGTTCATGGGGGGAAAATATCAAAACAAAGACCCTCCTCATTCTTCAAGGCCTGCCATTGTCAGACTTGGGTTTGAATCTAGACTCTGACCCCCGCCAGAGGAAACTGGACATCTCCCTTAAAGCCCCTCTGGGCTTCTTATTTTGTAAAATGGTGGCACAAGTCCCTATGTCTGCCCACGGGTATTGTGAGGGCTAGAATAAGACAGTCTTTGTGAGCCCCGAGTACAACAGCTGGCACTCGTAACGGCTATTGTCAGCCTAGCCTAAGGCCCCTCTTCTGAGAACTTGGCCCTGTACTTGGGCACCATCCCCAGGTCTCTATCCATCTGGCCCACCTTTTCTGGCTGGTCTGGTCTCGTCTCGTCCACAAGGTAGGCCTGCCAGTGAGGCCCTGAGGTCTCAGCAGGAGTGGTGGGTTGGTCCTGAGAGCCGTCTTGTTGACCCAGCAGCAGAACCCAATGAATGACTCTGGTGTGATGCGGGGCTAACCTCCCCAGAGCCACCTTTGGACTTATGGGAAACACTCTGCCCCAGGCTGCCTCCGGGAAGCCAGGCTGGCAGGAGGGGATGGACAGGTCCAGGTCTAGCCTCAGAGCAGGTCTCACATACCCTGCCCCCATCTCAGGGCCGGTCTTTCTGGGAGATCATTCTACTATCCCCTGGCCTCACCCCCATCACACACAAGGGCCCTGAGCCCAAGTTCTGATCCCCAACCTGGGCTTTTGAATCTGTCTCCAGTTTTTCCAGAAAATACCTCCAGTTTTTCAAGTCCCGAAGAGACCTCCCCTGGACCCCCCACCTTAGCCCCGCATCACACCAAGAGGCTGGGAAACAAGAGTCCTCCTGAATACATTCAGCCGGACGCCCTCAGCCGGGTGGGCAGCTCCTAACTCCTGTCTTGCCCGAGGAGCAGGCCAAGCCACCCCTGCCCTCGTACCTCTTAGGGCTTCTCTCTGCTGCACACGATGTCCCTCCGGCTCTGCTTGGGTGCTCCCCACACTCTGCCCAGCTCCAGCCAGCCTAGCTGAGCCCTCCCCTCCCACCAGGACCTTTGCTCTCAGCCAACCCCTGCTCAGATTGCTTTCTCCTCTGGTAAATATTGACCTGCATATCCGTTAAACATTGATATTGGGCCACAGGCCTTTCCCACCGGGGCGTCTGATCCTGAGACGGCCACCTGGAACCACGCAGGTTTAGGTTCCAGCTGAGCCTGGGAAAGGAGGTTCAGGAGACAATGGAGGAGGGTGTCCTCACCTGAAGAGCAGATCCAGGAAGGACAGGGATCCTCCAGAGACCCCGTTAGGTGGGGAGTTACCCCTGCTTCAGTTGGGCTCAGAGAGGCTCTGTAACCTGCCTGAGGGCACAGAGCCGGGCTCAGGTACATCCAGATTCCTGCTCCCAATGTCCTTCTCTCTCCCCCACAACTGCCTCCCCATTTCAGGGAAAAGGAAGCAGCGGGAGCTTATGTAGGGAAGCCAGGATAAGGTGCCCAAACCAACCCATACGTGCCCAGGATCCTGGCTGGCTGCCTTCAGCCTGGGCCAGACGGCAGGGGATGGGAAGAGATGCTGAGAGCCGCACCCTCTCTCAGCATCCTAGCTCATTAGGAGCAATGCCTCCTTACCCTCCTCAGCGGTACGTGTTCTGGAAGCTGGCGCGGCTTCACCCACCAGAAGCCCTGTCCCCTGCGCTGCCTGAGGAACAGTGGCCAGGCTGCCTCCCCACCTCCTGCCCAACTCCTCACTGCCCTACAGGCTGTGGGGTCTCAACCTTCCCCCACCTGACACCACCGTCAAGGAAAGCCTCATGCAGTTCCATGGCTCTTCCAAAGGATTTATTGGTCATATTTACATCTATTGCAAATGGCGAGGAGGCGGCAGGGGCCCAGTCCCAGTCCTTATCTCTGCCCCAGGACATGAGGACCTGGGGACGCCGGGGTCTTTCTATGCCCTGGGAGAGACCTGAGATGCAGAGATGGAACTCGTCTTGTCCCTTCTCTTGGGGTCTTGGGCTCCATCCCCCCCAACCCCCCCGCTCAGGGGTTCTGGGCTCAGAGTCTGCCTCCTCAGCTCAAGGCACAAACACTGTGGTTAGGGGTAGGCAGGAAGGCCTGGGGTCACTCCTGGCAGGCACCACTAGCCCAGTCCACCTTCCTTTCCCTGGTCCCGACCTCTTTCTTGTCCTAGTGGTCCCACACTGGGCAGGGCCTGGCTGGGCGGACACTTAAATCCCAGCCCAAGGCCCCTAACTCCAGGACCACAGCCAGCTCTCCATAGAGGCTGGAGCCCAAGCACCATGATGCCCTGGACTGGGGCAGCTTCTCTGTCCTTGGGGGAGAGGGTCAGAGATCCCAGTGGTGAAGGGGGGAGGCTTTGCTGGCGACTAGATAGGCAGGACCAGTTTCCCTTCCCCCTCCCGAGCTTCCCTGTCCCCATTTGAACCCAGGGGCCAAACTGGGGAAAGAGGGGCCAGTGATGCTTTCCCAGCTGCTCCTCCTGCTTTCTACTGGCTAGGAGTAGCGTCTCCTGGAGCCATGAATGAGATTCCTACTGACAGCCTTAGTGGCTCTGGGGGTTCAGGAGTCCGGACTCCAACTCTGTCGAAGCTTGCAAGCCATGGGGGTACGCTGGGCATGGGGCCTGAGGCTTGCCTAGAGAGGGGTGCTGGGAAAACAAGGGTGAGGGGGTACACTCCCAGAAGAGGTCTGCCAACCTGGGCCTGGCCAGCCTCCACCTCAGCCTATGCCAGGAGGCGAACAACCCCATTGTCTGAGCCGAGCAGGAGGTGGCGTTTGGTGGGCAGCAAGGCCAGGCTGGTGAGTGTGCCACGGAAGTTCTCAGAGCTGAGCTTGGTGGTGGCCTGGGAGGGCGGCTCAAGCAGGGAGCAGACCCCGATCTTGTTGGCCACGGTGCCGGTGATAACCTCGCCGCCATGCAGGTCAAAGGTGTGCACAGGGTCAGACGCCGACTTGTAGTGGTGCGTGGGCTTCTGCTCCAGCTCCTTCCAGACGGTCAAGGAGTGGTCAGAGGAGGAGCTGACCAGGACGCTGCCCTCCGCTGCCTGCTCAGGGAGAAGAGAGCCTCAGTGGGGCCTGGGCCTCCTCTGTGCCCACCAAGCCCCAGGGTCTTCCCATTTCCCCCCATGGTACCTCCCAGGAAGATGAGGTGTCCGGCGCAGTTGGCAGGCTGCCACCCTCCCACACTATGTTAATGTTAGTTAATATGCATACATTAAAATGTCATTAACCTACTCACCACTCTAGTTTCAGCTCTCACTGTGTTCAGGCATTGCGTTAGGCACGCCTCATTACTACATTTAATCTTTTTAACAGCTCTGTAAGGTCAATGCTGTCATCATTCCCATTTTACAGAGAAAAATGAAGGTGCAGAAAAGTAGCCACACCAAGGTCACAAAGCCAGTACGTTGCCGAGTCAGGATTGACACCCAGGCTGCCCCTAGAACCCTCCTGAAAAGTCTGCACTGGAAAGTCAGAATTTAGAGGCATCTCCAGGGTCCTCTAGGGGGTGCAGCTAGAGGGAGCCGGGGCAGCATGCCCCCAGCGCCAGTGTCAGCGCATGTCTCCTGGCCGGGCCTCCACTTCGGATGGGGAGGGAATCCCAGCTGCCTGGGAAGATCCTCCCACAGGTAGCCCTGTGCCTCCTCCTGTGCCTGCCTGAGCAGTTCCCTGATGTCTGTGACTGAGAATGGGGTGGGGCAGTGGTTGGGGGCAGGATCCCCCAGGCCCAGTCTGCCCCTGCTCCTGCCCCCACCAGAGCAGCCAAGCAGGGAGCATGGACTCTGCTCAGTGGTCTGGGCATGGTAAACAGCCTCCGAGCTGAGTTTTATTTAACCTGAATTGGGTCACGGACAGGACCTGACCCCTGATCCTCCAGGCAAGACAAATATGGACAAGGGTTACTCATTAGAACATCTCCAGGGAGCAGCAGGGTCAGCTTAGCCCCCTGGTGCCCACCCCAAGGGCCTGCCTCCTGCCAAGGCCCCACAATGAGGCTGGCTCCTGATCCTCCCTTATCTCTCCTTGGGCAGGTATCAGGGAGATCGGCCTGAGCCTGTCCTGGGTGAGCCCTAAACAGACGTGGGGACCCAGAACCATGAGGTGGGAAAGGGGCCCTGGTCCATCACCTTTATCTGCAGGATGTCCCCCTCATGGGCAGGCCAGCCTCGTAGAACCAGGCCCGTACGGGTGTCCAAGAGCACCATGAAGCCCGAGGAGAAGCCGGCCACAACGCTGCGGCCACTGGGACTAACGGCCAGAGAGCGGACGAGCCCAGGGTTCAGCCCGCCGCCCAGGCGGAACTCATGCTGCAGGCAGAGGGAGACAAGCTGAGGTGCCACCACCTGCTCCATCCCGCTTCTCCCTGATGTCCCGCTCACCCTTCAAGCCCCACACAGCCAGAAGGCCTGAGTAGACACCCAATCAAGGGGAGAGCTCCTCACATCACAGGCCAGAGCCCCACCCCCACCCCCAGGTTTACTGCTATTGGCGATCTGTCTCCAAAGACACTACGCCCTGGCCTTTCCCCTTCGGGATCTCTCCCTGCTGCCAGGCTCCCCAGTTAGGGCTCAGGGAACTGGACACCCCTGACCTGCAGGCCAGGCTTCCTGCAGTCCACGAAGCGCAGGGTCGAGTCAGAGCTGGCCATGGTGATGCTGGCGTGGGGAGCAGGCATGACAGCCACGGCGGTCAGGGGCACTCGACTGTCCGACGGCTCCACTACTCGAAGGGTCTTCCCTGGAAAGAAAGGGCACGGTGGACTTGGGGCCCCTGCAGCCAGTGAAAGTGCCTTGACCCCCCTATCCCCCAAACCACCCCGTACCTGCCTCCCATAACCCCAGGGATCTCAGCAAATGCTGTTTCTAAGAAGATAAAAAAGATGAACAGTGAAAGGACAGCAAACTCACAGTTATTAAGAACCACACCTAAAACAAAAGCAAACAGCTAGATCAGGAGTGAACCACAGAAATGAAGATCTCATGGAGGGTTAGCAACAGGGGAGTGGAAGAAGGAGAAGGGGGGAGAAGGTACAGAAAGTAAGTAGCATAGACAGTAGATAGAAAATAGATGGGGGGCAAGAATAGTAGGGGAAATATAGAATCTAAAGAACTTGAGACACATGGTCATAAACTAAAGGGGGGGAATGGTGGGAGGGAGTGTGCAGGGTGGAGGGAAATGAAGGGGGGAATAGAAAAACTGTAACGGCATAATCGATAAAATATATTTAAAAAAAAGAAAAAGAAAGAAAATGCTGTTTCTTGACCCTCCCACCTGCTTTCGTGGCCAGGCTCCCATCCTCAAGCAACCTTTCTTCACACAGCGCCCCCTGACTGAACGCTCGCTGTCTCCCTCAACGCTATTCCCCCCTCCTTTTTAGCTCTATTTCTCCCTACAGTGATGCCAAAAAATAATCAAGCAACCCTTTATCAAACATGCACTACACGCTAAATTTTAAGCCAAACCTCTGTGTTGAGCTCAACCACTTTGTTCTGATTCCCATTTTACAGATGGAAAAACTGATATCTCCAGCCGTGAAGTGACTCGCTCTGTCACTCAGCAAGTAAGTGGTCAGGGGCCAATTCAAACTGAGGCCTGACAGATTCTAAGTCCTAACTGTTCCTCTGTGTGGCCTCATTGGGTCACCCAAAACCAAAAACACCATTAGACCCCATCCACCCCACCCTTGGGCCCCATTCCCAGAGGACTAGTAGGGGACCCCTCACCTGTGAAGGGGTCCCAGACGTGCACAGCCCCATCACAGCTCACCACGTGCTGTGGGGCCTCAAGCTGGCCCACGAAAAAGACACTCTTGCGGTGCTGGGCATAGATGAGGCGTGGGGCCGTCTCGCTGGTGCCATCCCCCGAG